CAGTAAACGACATTATAAAGTGAGAGTGGTTTTCTTCATGGTCCGATCTTATGCAATACTCATTGCATAGGACGCCCCCACTCACATGTCTCCACATGCACCATTTAGTGATTACATTGTTTATATCATATACAAAAGTGGGCCGCATCCATACTGTCCCCAGAATAAGGTACTCAGCCTTCTCCTTATACTATAGATCATTTTGACTATATACTTGAACTTGATCCCCTCTTATGTCTCTACATATAGTTCAAGTAATCATAATAGCCAGAGTGTTCTTAGTTTATTGGATTTAGATTGATGATCGTAAAGTTCACTTTATTCAATAACAATTTTTTCTGAATAAACATCAATAATAACTTTATTGAAAATAGAATATATCTTTGTTTACAAACTATAAGTTTTAGGACATAAAACCCAACAAAATTAATATTTACGTACAATGCGCCAACCAACGAAGTTACAATGGTAAAAATTACGCATTGTGAGTTTTGGGTAATTAACCACTAAGATCTCTCAATTTTGTTTGATTGTCATGTGATGGTTTATGTGTCTGATCTCAATAGCAGAGTTCATTATTGTGTATTTTAATACTCATCCTTTTTTTTAAAATGATTTTAAGGCAAGACTATGATACGGGAGTGACGAGCAGGGTGGAGAAGTTAGTCATGGGGCAAATTGAGAATTTTATTGTTTCATTGATAGTTGTTTTCGCATTTAGTTGTTGATTGACTTAAGCTCTATTAGAGGACACCTAGTTTATGGGAACTAGTGTGTAACAGCCCAAACCCACTACTAGCAGATATTGTTATATGATAATGTAATGATGTTCTATGATGGTGTGATGTTATTATATGATTATGATGATGATGTTATTATATGACTATGATGGGTCCAAGGGTGTGAACTGCTTGGAGACTTGCGTTCGCACGTGTGGGTCGTGTGTAGGAAAGTACTACATATCTAATCATGGGTCACATGTGTTAACATTACTAGACTCCAATAGTGGGGTCACTTACTGAACATTTCTTAAAATACTAAAGTCTTGTGCTACATTTATTTCAGGTAAAGGCAAGACACCTCTATACGGTTGATGACGTACAGACCGTGGCACATGCATAGGATAGTGGTCACTAGATAAGGTTAAGTAGGTAAACCATGAAATGATGTAAAATGACCATAATACTCCTAAGGTTATTTACCTTCGGTTCATGAACTAGATAACCACCAAATATTATAAAACTCTGTCCCTTGGAACGCATGAAACCTTGGACAAAGGTTGTCAGGTTCATGACTAATACTGTAAATCTTAGGTGGATTGTCTTAGAGAACGAACCAAGAGTAGAACAAGAACCTAGAAAGTACCAAGAACAAGACAAAGATCAATGGCTACAACATGGATCCAGATCTAAGTTCCAAGACCAAGAACCAAGAACTAAGAACCATAGTACTAAGGCCCTTAGATTAGAACTAAAGTTTAAGGATCTGAGGACCAAGGTCCTCTGGATAGATCATTATATCAACCCACGAGTCAAGGATAAAAACTAAAGAGCCTAAGTACTTCTGACAAGAACCAAAAAAAGAAAAGAAAGAGTGTGATACTCTAGCATATCAAGGACACGATTAAGAGCCTACAAGTAGGCTACTTATTGAGTCTTTGTACTCAATCCTTGTTTTTCACATTTTTCAGGTAATAAGGAACTTTTCGAGTTCAGGAACAGACTCTAGAGTAGTTGTCGTAGACAAGTTTCACCCGTCATCCTCAACCTTTTTATTTTGAAATATTTTGTGTCCATTCCGTATTTTGTATCTTAATGGTTGGGTTGTGTTTTAAAAACTTATGTATGAACTTTATTTTGATATAATGTATATTATGTTTTAAATTTTCTTGTTTTATTTCGTTAAAATTTTTTCCGTCTTTTATGAAGTCATCGAGTCAGCCCGGTCCTTACAACTTGTATCTTTCCAAAAAAAAAATATATATATATTATATATATATATAATTGTATCATGTTTTATTTTTATTATCATCAGTATACATTTTAGCTCAAGAAGTACAAAGGAATTGATCTCCAATCTGAAAATAGAAAAGTAATAAGGGTTTTCTTGTGTCTAGATCAACAATCGTGTTGAAATCAACCGAATGAAACTTGACATCTTTGGAAGTTGTGTTTAAATCAACCCAATGAAACTCAACATCATTTCCAAGGGTACTCTAATAGATATGATTCTTTAGAACCAAGACGTAAGGAAATGCCATTGTCTTCTGCTGCCCATGTACAAATACTATTATAACATTGATCACTAAACCAATTTTCAAATTCTGGCCAAAATACTTCACCAGAAGCATGTCCGTGTTTGCTGCTAAAATTGCACCAAAATCGTGTTGATTGCCAAAAATTTTCTTTGAAGGTCCAAGAGTATTTCTCTCCAAGGCCGATTTCATGTTCGCCTAAATCGTTGTCTTTAGACTTGCAATGAGCCAAGAGAGTTGAATCCTTCATATGATTCCAAATTGCAACTTCCCATGGGGAGAATGGACGTTGTATCTTTGAGTCGGATTGTGCAGAACATGAGGTAATAATCATGTTTGATTTAAAAGCAAGCAATATGATGAGACCGAATATATTTTGAGTTTTCATTTTTTGGTGGGAGTTTAAGTTGGTAACTTTTTCTTGGTTCACAAATCCATTTTGTTTTTGTTTCTTTTATATATATATAGCCAAATCAAATTGGTATACAATAAAGGTTGATAAGTTGTACCATCTAAATCTCTCTACTTTTCTAACCTTATTTATCTAAATATATATCATACATGTAATAATTAATAGGGTGTATTATATATAGCAAGTTGTTACATCCAAGTTAAAATATGTTATATTTGGGCCAAAGTTTGAATCCAACAAAACCTACCCTATAATGATCATTTTGTTGATAATAACTAATGCAAAAGTAACAATACAAACACATAAGAAATTCAATATTTAATTGACCTCTTTGTCGGGTAATATAATCTAGAATCTTTTTGTTGATAATGACTTAACCTACTCTCTACTTTTCTAACCTGAAGTCTGCGTTTCGAGCCGAATCACAACCTGTACGCATTGGCTCACTACCGACAGGTGTCTTGTCCCCAGCCACTGGCTCACTCGGCTCGATTTCGCTAGTCTCTAACAGCTAAAAAAAAGTCATTTGATTTGGGTTAGACGTTTTAAGAATGATTTCAATATTTTTGACCTTCTCGAAGCTGAATTTGATCTTATTTAAGGGAAATTAAGGTGAGTGCAATGTTCAATTTCTCAATTGAAGTTAAATTAGGTTAGGAAACAAGAATTTTCTAATGAAACAAGGTGAATGTTCTAATAGGGTGAAACATCTCTACGATACTTGAAACAAACTTTGAGGGATGAAATCAAGCGTATTCGAGTATTAGATAGAACATCGACCAAGGTCATCCAAGTAAGTGGTCTTACAATAGGCATAGTTAGAAGTTTGTGTTATGTAAGATGATGACACGTGCTCAGTTACTCTACAGTGTCATATGTTTGATATGTGTGAGATGTTTATGATATGACATGTCTATGATATGATATGATTGATGATATGATATATGTCTATGATATGATATGTTGAACTATATGATATGTTGAATGATATGACATATGGAACTATACAATATGTTGAAGGTTACAATGTGTTGCATGACATGAATAATACGATGTATTACATGAATGATAAGCAGTAAAAAGTTTTGACATGATACACATCCCCAGACATGTTTTAAAGACTTTGCTATAAAATTATATGATATGAAGGAAAATGGAAAGGGTTGTCTTACATGGTTTAACTAATGTGAAAAAGTTGGGATCTCATGCATAATGGTAAGCCACATGCATCGAGATATTTTTTCCTTAGTACTAATATGAACGTGTAGTTTTGAAAAGGAAAATGATCGTCAGTTTAACAAGATGCTACGATGGTTGCTACTCCTTTTGGTTGTCCGACAATAGCACTAGAGACGCTAACCCAACAAGTACGAGGCCCAGAAGGTGTGCAAACCCCCTCGTGGGTCCATATTTGCACGTATGGGGCATGTGCAAAATAGTAAATACACATGTAGAGTAGACGAAACAACCAGCATCACCGTCAGCTCAAGCTAGGGCTTATGCATTTAGGAGCAAGGATATTGGGAAGTCCAACGCTGTAGTGACAGGTACACCATTTGTTTTAGGTCATTTCATTTTTACCTTATTTGATTTTGGTTCTACGCATTCCTTTAGTTCTATGTCTTTTGTTGTACAAGCAGGGTTCGAATTAGAACCCTTATTGCATGAAATGTCTGTAAGCACCCCTGCAGGGGTAGACTTAGTAGCTAGGAATAGAGTAAAGAATAGTCAAGTAATCATAGAGAACCAAACTTTAAGCGTTGACCTGATAGTAGTAAACATGACGGACTTCAACATCATACTAGACATGGATTGGCTAGCCGAAAATCGTGCTAGTATAGACTGTCGTAAAAAGAAAGTAAATTTTTTACCACCAGCAGGGCCTACCTTCAAATTTAAAGGCACAAGTATCGGGATTACTTCCAAGGTAGTGTCGATAATGAAAGCAAAAAGGTTAGTCCAACAAGGCGGATGGACTATATTAACATGTGCCGTAGACGTAAGAGGAAAAGGAAAGACCCTAGAAAACGTGTCAATAGCAAACGAGTTCCTAGATGTATTTTCGGACATCTACCAAGAATACCCCTTTCCCAAGTGGTCGACTTCGTCATCGAACTCGAGCTGGGAACTGGGCCTATTTCCAAAGTACCCTTTCGCATGGCGTCAATAGAGTTGAAGAACTCAAGGTGTAGTTACAAAACTTACCGGATAAAGGGTTCATTTGACCTAGCATATCCCCCCTAAGGTGCACTAGTGTTGTTTGTTAAGAAGAAAGATGGATCCATGCGTCTGTGCGGCAATTACAGGGAGCTAAATAAGAGAACCGTAAAAAACAAATACCTTCTACCTAGAATAGAAGACCTATTCGATCAACTTAGAGAGCTTACTGTATTTTCAAAGATAGACCTTCGGTCTGATTATCACCAAATTAGGATCAATGAAAAAGATGTACTAAAAATAGCGTGTAGGACAAGGTATGGTCACTAAGAGTTCGTAGTGATGTCATTTGGTCTCACCAATGCCCCAACTGTGTTTATGGAGTTGATGAACCAAGTATTCAAGGACTGTCTAGACACATTTGTGATGTTTTTCATTGACGATATCCTGGTGTACTCGGAGACACATCTAGAACACCAGGAACACCTCCAAAAAGTCTGAACAACCCTGAGAGAGAACAAGTTGTACGACAAGTTCTTCAAGTGCTAATTTTGGTTACGACAAGTCTCTATCCTAGGACACATGGTGACAAAGACGAAATATCGATAGATCCCACCAAGGTAGAAGCGGTCAAAAAGTGGGAACGCCCATCTACGGTAACAGAAGTATGAAGTTTCCTAGGATTGGCGAGATACTATTGAAGGTTCGTGCAAGACTTCGCTAGGATAGCCTCGCTTTTAACACAGTTAACAAGAAAATGGGTACCATTTATAGGGAATGATTTTTGTGAGGCAAGCTTCCTGAACCAGAAAGAGAGATTGGTAATCGCCTCGGTACTCATGGTACTCGAGAGCTCATAAGGGTACATGATTTATAGTGACGACTCCAAGAAAGGACTGAGATGTGTATTAATGCAATACAATAGGGTTGTTGCAATCTAAAGTTGGCCGTTGTAGTGTTCGCACTAAAAATTTGGCGACACTACCTGTATGGAGAGAAAACTCAAATTTTTACCGATCACAAGAGTTTAAAATATTTCTTCACTCAGAAAGAGTTAAATATGAGAAAGAGAAGGTGGTTAGAATTGGTGAAGGACTATTAAGTTAAGTAGATATCTAGTACCACCCTGAAAAAGTAAACGTGGTCGCAGATGCTTTTAGTAGAAAGACGGTCCACTCGTTGGCTCTCATTACAAGGGAAGTAAGGGTACAAAGAGAATTCGAGTGAGCCAACATAGTTTTAGAGACCGAGGGAGTCATAGCACAGTTGGCCCGACTCATAGTGCAACCTACGCTTAGGCAGAGAATTATTACCTCCCATCAAGAAGATCCAAACCTACATAAAGTCCTAAGCCAGCTAGACGAGAGTCCAATAGATGGATTTTCGAAGTGCTTAGATGAAGGGCTATTGTATTAGGGACGCATATGTATCCCAAAAATAGAGGAGCTAAGGAAAGAAATATTGACGGAATCTCACAACTTGCCATTTGCCATGCACCCAGGAGTTATTAAGATGTATCAAGATTTAAAACAACATTTCTAGTGGAAGAGCATGAAGAGGGACGTGGTTGAGTTTGTGATAAAGTGCTTAGTTTGTCAACAAGTGAAAGCTCCTAGACAAAAGACAACGTGGATGTTACAGCCCCTAAACACCCTAATCAAACCGACAAAACCCTCACCGACCTTTATACCTTCCCCCAGAGTGAACACACGTCGCAGGTATCTCCATCGAAAAAAGAGATCTAAAAAACGAGTTTTTGAGGAAATGAGATCTACCTCCACAAATGTCCAACAACCATGAATCTTCGTGGGAAGGTGGATGTAACACCTCAACAAAAAAGAAAAAGAAAAGAAAAGAAAGTTGGCCAAGTCATTTTGCCCCTCAAGCCATAATAGGGGGCCAATGACCTAATCAGTTTACCTAAAAAATGAATGAGAGTTAGAGGGAAAGGTTGAGAGAAAAAATAGGAGCTGCCAGAGATCCTATCAAAAACCGCCATAAGAATCCATTTTCCGCTGAGAGGGACCACTCCTTAGAGAAAAGAGAGGTCTGAGAAGCAAAGGTTCGTTCGCATCAAGGTTTGAGAATGTTTCGTGAGGTAAGACCCTTGAACAAACTTTTTCTGATCTGAGATTTTCCTATGTGAATTGAGTCCTAAAATGTTGATATATTCATCTAGGAACAACTCTCCACACGATATGTGAAGAAGTTTAGCCAAAATCTCAATCTGAAGGCAAAAATTTGAGAATCGTTCGAGAACGGTAAGCGAACTTCCGACACTCGTAACTCATCTGGTAGTTGTTAGATTGAATAGCACTATGACCTATATGAGTCAGGACCTTATGTATTTATAGATTTGTACAATGAAGATTACATGGTGGTCCTTGGTCCAAGATAACAAACCAGGAAATCAGTAGATTCTCCTGGATCCCAGGTAACAAACTAGGAAATCAGTAGATTCTCCTAGATCCAAGGTAACAAATCAGGAAATCAGTAAATTCTCCTTAATCCATGGTAACAAACTAGAAAATCAGTAGATTATCTTGTACAAATATGACTTATTCTACGTTTAACACCCCCCTATCAATCTTGACTAAATTTAGATTGCGCCTAAAACTACTAAAAGAAGGAGCTGGCAGTGACTTTGTCACGATATCGGGGAGCTGATCCATGGAAGATATGAGTCGCACATCAAGCTGACGAGTCGATACTCGTTCACGAGCGAAGTAATAATCAACCTCAACATGCTTCGCCCATCAATGAAAGATTGGATTTGCATTCAATAGGTGGCACCAATGTTGTCACACTATAGGCTAGGCGCTCGTGCTTGCAAGATCTCGAGCTCAAGCAAGAGGACTGATGGTGTTAATATAATACATGCGGAAGCAATTTGGATCTTAGGCACTTTTAGAACATCAATTATAGTAAATAACTAGCATGTTCATAAATATTAAAACTTAATGAGTTTGAATACTAACCTTCTATAGTTCAAATTTCTTTTTCCACGCGAACAAGTTTCGAACCATCACTAGTGTCTTCACCACTATCCTCCGGCCTTAGAACGGGATTGTGGAATCCAGTGAATGACTAAACTTGGGAGGGATTTTGTATATATGAAGAGAGTGTTTGTGAAAAGTTTTTCTCAAGGTTTTTCAACAAGGAAGCTCTTCCATGTACCATGATCACTCTATTTATAGAGTTATGTTTGATGTTATGCAAATTTGAGATCACCAAATTTTGACACTCAAAATTCCGCTCAAATGTTTGGGATTATGTGGCAAGCATGCAAGTTTGAGATCACCAAATTTTGACACTCAAAATTCCGCTCAAATGTTTGGGATTATGTGGCAAGCATGCAAGTTTGGTTAAACCAAATTTTGACACCTCAAAATTCCACTGACATGGATTTTTCCATTAAATGAAGTCAACATTTTGACTTTCTTCATTTTAATTCAACAATTAATTTGAATAACTAATTTCAATTAAAGTAATATTAACTGATTAATTAAACTATTTAATTAATATTTAATATCAATTCAAATGCCAATCTCAATCAATTCCGACACATATTTGATTAAGATATTTAAATCTTATTTAAATATCTTAGATTCTCTCTTTTTGTTTAATTCGTAAATAAAAAAAATGCGGTTAAATATATCGTATATATGTAGCGCATATTCCCTATTTTGAATTCGAACACTTTGAACTCACTCGTCACACTGTTCTATGGTTTAGTCTGATATGAGCTTGTTGTTGAAATTTATTGTCTTACCCAGTATACTATCTGGATATACTTTACTACTGGTGTAAGTAATCATGCTGTGACAGTATATGAGATGTTTATTTATTAGCCCTCTAGGTGCTCGATGGAAGTTACCGCCCCATTGAGCATGTGTGACTCCTGATGAATGATTGTGTGATCCCTCCCTTTTGAGAATAAGCAACAGAATCGAGTTAAGTCTAGGGTAAGCACGTAGATTGGTGGGTCGAGACTTTGGATTGAACACCTTTAGAGGTCTAAGACCAATGGAATCATGAAGGGCGATCAGAGGGTGAGACAATATTATAACAAAATAATGTGCGCACATAAGTAATTTACAGCACGACAATATTTAAAACACAAAATAAGAAACGAACTCAAAACATTTTCAAACAAAAGAGTTGAGGACGACGGGTGAGGTTATTCTATGGCACCTGCCCAAGAGACCACTCCCAACTTCGACCAGCTCCTTACCTGAAAAAAATGGAGAATAAGGAATGAGTACAAAGATGTAACATTTCATACCTATCATACCATAACATATACTGTCACGATCACACTTTCGAGGCTTCGAAAGACCGAATCGTGACTAAAAAGACGAAATAAAAAAAAATAAAAAGAAAAAGAAAATAAAATAGAAGGTAAAAATCTGGCAAAATTTAAAACAAAAAAAGAAAATCAAGGACACCAAAATTAAATATAAAATCAAAGTCAAATGTTACACATAGTAATTACAAATATAAAATGAAATACAAAAGACTCTAAATGTAAAAACGGACAAATGACTCTAAAAGACCGACAAGAGACTGACGCTCCGGAACGACAGCCCTCTGTGACAGTGCAGCTCTCGAACACCTCCCCGTATCGACTGGTACCTGAAAAAAAAGGGAGAAAGGGGTGAGTATAAAAATATACTCAGTAAGCAACCTACTTTTAGGCTCTTTTCGCATCCTTATCTTGGTAGGTATCCACGGTCTTTCTCGGGTTTCTAAGGAGAGTGATCTAAGCTGCAACTCTCTTTTCTTTAACTTAGGAGGTTTGCCCATCTTAAGCAGTGAAATGATCAGTGTCCTGAGGTGAGATCCGACCTCATAAGTAAATCTGAGGGGATCGTATGGCTGGATCTGAATACGTGACTCTCTCTGAACATAATCCATAAAGGTTAGCTGATGACCCTTACACGGGACCATACATCCACTAAATTCGGGGTGTGACCCTCTGTGTGCCGGTCAACAATTGAGTCATCCTGTGTGGCTCCACGTCCCCCGCTCAGGGATGGGTTTCTACGGCCCAGGAGTCCTATTCAGAAGACCCCTTAGCTATCACCACTAGGTCTGGGCACCTGTCACACTTCCCTTTCCTGATCTGTCAAGCTCAACGATCTCCGTACTAGAGCTCTGTCTTGACGGTACGGTATCGGAGGAGAGAGCGAAGTGGAGGTTCTGATGACACTATCTACACTGCTCAACTCTAGCGGGCTACCTACAGTTACCGTGGTGACCTATTATTCTTTCTAAGGTGGAACTTGGTGGCTTAGACTTGGCTTCATGTATCTCTAGGATTCTCGTGCCTGGCTCACAAACTTATCGAGTTTGGAATTTTGAGCTCTAGATCTGCTGGTAATCATTTTGCAGGTCTAATTGCACGGTATTCTAGAGGTCCCCCAATCTAAGGTCTCGTCTAGCCTACTTAGTCACAAGCACCCTAACCAGAATCTCAATCAAAACAGATTTAATAAACATTTCATATCTAGCTATTCTTAATCATTTCATTTTCGCAGTTTCCATACAAATATTCTAGGTCCGGCTAGCTAAGTTTATGGGTGGTAGCATACATGCTCGTTCCAAGCGGTTCCTACAAGTACTGCTCGTGGGAATCAAAATGGCTACTTACATAGTTGACGTGTGCCTTCCCAAGCTCGAATTATTTGCCGGAAAAGGTTACAAAAATTCTGGAATTTCCTTGATAGGTCCTAATTCAAGTTAGACTTAGATCAGTATCAAAACTGAGATGAAAAATAGTCGAACAGAAGTCAAATCGGGATAAAAATAGATCTCATAAGTTGGTTCGTGCGCCTCACGCACCGAAGGGATTTCCTACACGTACAGACACGCACGCGTACGGACGCGTTGAGGGGATGGAGTCGCGCGCTGGTGTGTCGCCACGTGGCGATGGCTGACTAGTCCACTGAGAGGCAAGGCGTGTGTTCGAATCTGGACGCACGCGGGTTCCTACAAATTTTCCCACACTGACGCGTGGCAGCTACAGGTTCAGGTCGCGCGCAGGTTCACGAATCTGGTAGCGGGCACCGATCTTCAAACCCTACGTAACGCAGTATTTTTCGTAAATTTTCCCCCGCCTTTTCACGCCTAACACGTGTCCTATCTTTCAGATGATGCGCGACACTCTCCTTTCCTAACACACGTCCCTTCGTCATTCGTCTTCTTCCTCTCATCTCTGCGATTTTCCATAAAATTGATTATTTTCTATTTTCTTTGCATTTTCGTATTTCTTTCTACACAACTCGGATTAACGAGATTTCTTCCCGAGATTTATAGATCTCATCTCCATCTACACATAGGTATTTTTCTTGTAATTTATTTCTAACTACAGACATAATAAACTTGGTCCAAAGTTGGCAAGATCATCAATACTTACATCCTTTGGTGAAAGCCGAAACTTCTATTTCTGATCTGAATCAATCAAGACTTCTTTCACGGATTAAGAGCGTAATCCTCTCTGAATTAACGTACTCAAATTTCAGAATCTAACTCTAAATATTTCTCATAGATTTGAAGAAAATCCGAAAACAAATGTTCAAGAATTTACCTACGGATTTTCTTCATTCCTTGACAGTTTTGAATGATTCAAGGGTCCAGAAAGCTTAATCCTCTCTGAATTAACTTACCCAAATTTCAGAATCTAACTCTAAATATTTCTCATAGATCTGAAGAAAATCCGAAAATAAATGTTCAAGAATTTACCTACGAATTTTCTTCGTTCCTTGACAGTTTTGAATGATTCAAGGGTCCAGAAAGCTTCCAATAGGTTCTGCGAAGGATTTGTGAAGAAATCTCACTCGAATCAAACTCCTTGTGGCCTGATTGGAAGTAGCTGTTACTTCTTTCTCTCTAGAACCTTCTTTCTCTCTCTCTCTTTTCTTTTTCTTTTCTTTTTCTTTCCTCTCTTTCCTTACCCTTTTTATTTCTATTCTTTTATTCATCTTTTACTAACCACCCTTTCTCTTTCCTCTCTTTCCTTACCCTTTTTATTTCTATTCTTTTATTCATCTTTTACTAACCACCCTTTCAGGTTCTTAAGGAGGAAGATGGTTTTTATTTCTATTCTTTTATTCATCTTTTACTAACCACCCTTTCAGGTTCTTAAGGAGGAAGATGGGAAAATGACCAAATTACCCTAGGGTTGACTTTCACCATTTTTCTAATTTTCTACCATTTTTCTTTTTATATTTTTCTTGAGATCTTGAGATATTTCTAAACATTTTTTTCTTCTACCTCATCTTAAAATTCAGTCTCTAACATACTCAATAAAATCTCAGAAGTTCACTTAGAGGGGAAAACTTATATTTTAAGTTTCTCGTTGGGGTTTGGGTGTTACGTATACAATCACAATATATCATATCATAAACATGTCATTTATCACTTGTCTCATACAATAACATATTTCATATCATATCACAATGTGTGTATATATATATATATATATGTAATTCAGGTGTCGTATCATAATCATATCGTATCGTAAACACTTCAGGGTCATATCCTTCCCTAATTTATCATAGCCTTAACATTCTTATACCTATCACAGTGTTATCGTTTCATGAATGTACCTTAGTCATATCGTTACAGGAACGTATCTTAACGCTATCGTTCTATCAATCTATCATAATCCTATCCCTTTCTACCCATAACCTAACCATATACTTTTATTACTTTTTTAGGGAAGATATTGTTACTAGAAAGAATTTGATGGAGTTTCTTGAAATGATATTTCTTCGGTTTTATATTTTAATGTTCACCAAATCCTTAATTTTTTCTCTATTAAATTTCCTCTTTTTCATCTACTTCCTTTTTTATTAATTTTAATTATGTTCACCATTTACTATTTTAAATTTCATCTATGTATTTTTAAAATTAACCGTATTTATTTTAATTCTTTAAATTTCCCCTTTTTCTTTTAATCAATTCTTGCTCCCACATCTTCGCTTAAATTTTCTTTCCGTATTTCTTTCTTCTTTTTGTTTTTTCTATTCTATTCTAGTCTTTTTCGGTAAGGGTTTGGCTTTACAATATCTCCTTTTTCTTCCTTTTTCTTCTTGTATTTTTCTTTTATTTTTCTTTTCTATTATGTTAACAGTATTCTAGATTTTCATCCGTATTTCATTTTGCTCGATCTATGCTAATTAAGTGTCGTGAACTCGCATAGGTTTACTTGGATTTCAAAGGGAAAAATTGAACTAGCTCCAAGTACGATTTAGGGACTTCAACTTAGCTACCTTGGTAAGTTTCTTCACTACTGTTTTGGTTCGATGAATTGTTTGAAGCACGAGTGGCGGATGCCCAGTGGCCCTTGCTTGTGTCGTCCCTTGTGATTTCTATATTTGCATATTATGTTATGACGTGTTGTTATAATGACAAATGTTACGTTTTGTAATTTCATGTTTACTTATTATGCTATTGCAAATGTGACATATTATGAAAGTATGGTAGCATAGAGTACATTCACCTTATGTACATTCACCTTATTCGGGTGAACTGGTCAAGAATAGAAAATGTGAGTTTCACGTTTTCTAGTATCTTTGAATGAATTTAATTCATTCTATATTCAAGACAAAAAATTAAAAAAAAATGCGTCAATGCAGGTGAATAAAAAATCTACGCTTTGGTGAAGAAACCAAGTCAATCCAAGTTATGTGCGAAAAGTTACGAAAATCTAAAGCAAATGGTTTGAACACATGAAATTGATGAAATCTGGAAAATTGAAAAAACGTATGAGAGAGAAAATTGCCGCCACGCGTCGCCTAATGTATAAAGGAGCTCGGTGGAACTGGTGAGTAACACATGGAAGCATTTCACTAGAGAAATGCATTCAGCCTACCTATTGACACGCATCAGCACGCTCGGATTAAGGTCAAACCGAAATCAAAATGCTCACGTGAATCGAACAGCGTCTGGAACCACCAAACTGACCCGTGACCAATCTGGTGACCATAGTCCAACCTAACGATATTGCCACTCCCTGTGCACCATGTGTGTCGTCCAAAAAATTTGAAGGGTAAGTTTGCGTCGTTGGGGTTTGATGTGCGCCACTGCTCGCACGATGCCCAAGCTTACCACGTGTGTGCATTGCGTGTGGGGGGCGCGTGCCAGCGCGTATGGGAGCTTGCCTGTGCGTGCAAGCACGTGAAGTCCCCTATTCTTACCCGTTTTTCGCCTGTTTGCTTGTTTTTCATCCTAATTCCAATACTGACCTTATTATTAGTGAATTAGGACCCATCAAGGAAATTTTATAATTTTTGGAACCCTCTACCGCGAGAGACTTGAGATCCGGAAAATACGTGTTAACCAAGAAAGTAACCATTTGGATTCCCACAAGTAGTAATTGTAGGAAACGCTTGGATTAAGCATGCATGCTGCAAAATTGATAAACCTAGCTAGCCGGACCTACCGTATTAGCATGTAAGCCATGCAAATAAATTAATTAAGAAAATCAATGGGATCTAGATATGATTGACTCTGAAATCATTTTAGAGTGAGAATGTGATACTATATGTATGCATGATAAAGTAGGAAGGAAAACTTGTGAAATATGTGCTCCCAATGAAGATGGACGTTATCTTCCCGTTGAGCATGTTTGTTAATATTGCATGAACTGCTGCATGTTAACTCAAATGCATATGGTATGTTAAGACTATATATGAAATTTGGTGGTTATTGGATAAGGTTAAGTAGGTAAACCAAGAAATGATGTCAAATGACCATAATACCCCTAAGGTAATTTACCTTCAGTTCACGAACTACATAACCTCCAAATATTATGAAACTCTGTCCCTTGAAATGCATGAAACCTTGGACAAAGGTTGTCAGGTTCATGACTAGTACGGTAAATCTTAGGGGGAGTGTCTTGGAGAACGAACCTGAGAATGTTTGCTAAACCACCACACTTAAATGGTGTATAAAAGTTCTCTGTTTATAATCAAATAAATTACAAGGATATGGAAATAGTAATAAAGAGAAAGAACAATATATGGAAAGATACCTATGGTAAGACGACAAATATTTAGATATTTGCCTATAATAAAATATCAAATATGATGTATATGGTATAATTTAGTACTAAATATCTTTAACAGAACAAAGAGCAGAACAAGAACCTAGAAAGTACCAAGAACAAGACAAAGATCAATGACTAGAACATGGATCCTGATCTAAGTTCTAAGACCAAGAACCAAGAACTAAGAACTATAGTACTAAGGCCCTTAGATTAAAACTAAAGTTTAAAGATCCAAGGACCAAGTTTCTCAAGATAGATCGTGATATGAACCCACAAGTCAAGGATAAGAACTAAAGAGCATAAATACTTACAAGAACAAGAAAAAGAAAAGAAAGAGTGTGATACTCTACCATATCAAGGACATAATTAAGAGTCTACAAATAGGCTACTTACCGAGTCTTTGTACTCATTCCTTATTTTTCATATCTTTCAGGTAATAAGGACCTTTTCGAGGTTGGGAGCGAACTCTTGAGTAGGTGTTATAGACAAGTTTCACCCGTCGTCCTCAACCTTTCTATTTAAAAATGTTTTGTGCCCATTCCATACTTTGTGTCTTAACTATTAGGTTGTGTTTTAAAAACTTATGTATGAACTTTTTTTTTTGATATAATATGTATTATGTTTTAAAAATTTTCCGTCTTTTATGAAGTCATCGAGTCAGCCCGTTCCTTACAACTTGTATCTTTTCAGAAAATATATATATATATATATATATATAACTATATGATGTTTTATTTTTATTATCATCAATATACATTTTAGCTCAACAATTTAAAAGGATTGACCTCGAATCTTAAAATAGATAAGTAATAAGGGTTTTCTTGTGTCTAGATCAACAATTGTGTTGAAATCAACCCAATGAAACTCAACATCATTTTCAAGGGTATTCTGATAGATATGGTTCTTTAGAACCAGGACGTAAGGAAATGCCATTGTCTTCTACTACCAAAAGAATTGCACAAAAACCGTGTTGATTGCCAAAAATTTTCTTTGAAGGTCCAAAAGTATTTCTCTTCAAGAATTGCACAAAAACCGTGTTGATTGCCAAAAATTTTCTTTGAAGGTCCAAAAGTATTTCTCTTCAAGGCCAATTTCATGTTGGCCTAAATAGTTGTCTTTAGACGTTATATCTTTGAGTCCGATTGTGCAAAACATGAACTAATAATCATGTTTGATTTAAAAGCAAGCAATAGGACCACACAAAACCGATTGTGCAAAACATGAACTAATAATCATGTTTGATTTAAAAGCAAGCAATAGGACCACACAAAATAATTCATTTTTGGCTTCATTTTATTTATTTATTTATTTACTTTTTTTTAGTTTAAGTTGGTAACTTTTTCTTTATTCACAAATCCATTTTGTTTTGTTCAATAAAGATTCACCAGTTATACCATTTAAACCTCTTATTTATCTAAATGTTACCATACAGTTCAATAGGGTGCAATATACATATAGAAAGTTGTTACATCCAAGTTAAAATATGTTATATTTGGATGAGTGTTTGAATCCAGCCAAACCTACCCTATAATGATTTTTTTGTTGATAATGATTAAAGCAAAAGTAACAACACAAACACATAAGAAATTCAATATTTAATTAACTTCTTTGTCGGGTAATATAATCTAGAATCTAACCATTATTTTACTTTTGTTGGATGAAAGATTATAACGATCCTAAATTTCTAGTAACCTAAATTCTCTACTGTCATCATACTCTATGTTCTTATACCGAACTAAACATTTAAAACTTTATCTTAAAATATAAATTTAAAACACTCCCATAAATTAGGCCTTTGCAAGCATCTTTAAGACCACAGAAGGAAATAATAAATAAAAATAATAATTAAAACATCAAAAGTAAAACACCTTATAACGACCCAAAATTTTCTACTTAATTTAAGGTCGCTACTGTATACGTATCATAAACATTAAATGTGGAAGACTTCATTTAAATTCCATAGTCATGGACTTACATGTTTCGAAAACATCTTTAAAACGACACAACAAAAGACTCGAAATAAAATAAATAAGCGTTTAAGTTTAAAACATCCTATTCTAGCCTAAGTCTAAGAAAAAAAATACCACTATCCTATGCATGAGCCATGATCTCGAGTTGCGATGTCATCGTCAGCTGTACAGGAATGCCTTGCCTTAACCTGAAAAATGTAGTAGCACATGGCTTGAATATTTAAAGAAATACTCAGTAAGGGATAAATGAAACAATCACATGCAATGAAATGATGGGACCTATCTTTCATTTCGTTTCATTTCGTTTTCCCTACGGTGCTGTCCCAATGGGTAATCGTGGACGTGTACCATATATACTCTAGCTCACCAGCTAGTTCGCACACCGCTGGGCCACTTTCCTTATCCGGTGAGCATACTTTGGGAACTCCTTATGCCGGGAGCCGTTAGAACTAGTAACCGTCACTGCAGCGCTATGCAAAGCATAACGATCGTTGTCCTGCTATTGGATGTACACATCCGTATCTTCGTGATGGGATAGGGGTATCCCCCCATATGCATGAGGTCCCACTACTTCTACAATTTCATTATCCTTTAATATAACCCTGTTAGCATTAAGTACATATCATATCATTTTTCATATCGTTTCAGATATCGTTCATCATTCATATCATATCGTTTCTCATTCTTCCGTTCTCAAATCATACATAATTCTAATGGGGTTATATTTTATGTCATTTATCGTAATTGCATGTCATTCATATCATGCTGTATACACACACAATTTAAAAGACCTAACATAACGTTCTATGCTTTTAACATAACATTTCATCATATACACATCATACCATGACATATTGCATCACAATGTATCATATCATAAACAAGTAATAACATAAACACTTCATAGTCATATCATTCTCTAACTTATCATAGCCTCAACGTTCTTATACCTATCACAGACATATCATTACGTGAACATACCTTAGTCATATCATCACAAGAACTTAACCTAACGCTATCGTTCTATCAATCTATCACAAACCTATCCCTTTCTACCCGTAACTTAACTGTATTCTTCCATCAATCTCTCTTATCCATATTACTCTGGTATGTAACCTAACTGTAACGTTTCGTGAACGTATTTTACTCTTATTGTGACATTTTGTCTTGTGCATTCTTCTTGTATCCTATCTCAAACATATCCTTGAACACATCGTACAGTAACTATTATCATACAATTCACATATTATAACATATACATAATATATAGGAAGCATATCGATCCACAGATAATTCACAAATATCAATATATATGACACGTGCAAAACCAAGGGCACGTGTCAACATCAAAATATAACCATGCCAATAGTAAGGTCACTTACTTGGCTAGCTTAAGTCGTTGTCACGAATATTTCTTTAATTAAAGTTAGATTCCATCCTTTGAAATCCGAGTCAACCTATATGAGCCCATGACATTAGTTTCAGGTTTGAACTCTACAACATTATTTCTCTAATTTACATTGGTTCATTGTTAAAAGTTTGAAATGTTATATATCTATAATTATATTTTTATTAAAAATCTTATTTTTCATACCGCTGTATTAGAAAGTAGATACAGTTATTTCAAGTTATTCTAAGTTTTACTACTCTTTGTATTTACCCTCCGTGTTTACCTTTCCCTCTATGTTTACCTTTCCCTCTATGTTTAGTTTGTGGTTTTTAATTCTCAACTCTTCTTTTTTTTTTAATGTGTTTCCTTTTAATTGTGTTCTCATGCATTCCAAATTTCTATTTCTAGCGATCTCTGTTTCCAAATCTTTCCACTCAGTGTTTCCTATTCACAAGTTTTCTTGGTCATTCTATCTTTAATCTATTCATTTGGCTGCTGATGAAAATTTAATCTAATATTACGAATCTGACGTGATTGATTAGAATCGTATAAATGATTGACATTTAGTTTCTAACTCAAAGCTAGATCATTGTAATAATTCAATGAAGATCAACTATGGGTGTGATTTCTATATAAAAAAAATAGGATAAAAGAAAATGAAGATTTAATATATACCTTGTTGATTAGATCTATCTTCACGTAAATCTCCCGTAAATCTGACAACTGGGTAAAGGTTACTTTTTGGTGTAAGAATGGGTTGAGGAGAGATAATTATGGGAGGGGAGGAGAGGTTAATCGAGAGAGGGGAAAGGTTGTTGTTTTTTTTTTTTTTTTTTTAATTAATTAATTAATTATTATTATTAAAACTATTTTTATAATTATGTTTATTTGTTTATTTATTTATTTATTTATGGGCTATTACACACACCCTATACTAACCTATGTCTAAGAAACTAAAATACTACTATCTTGTGCACGTGTCATGGTCTCTACTTGCAATTTTATCGTCAGCCGTACAGGGGTCCCTTACCTTTACCTGAAAATAGAAGTAGGACATGGCTTGAGTATTTTAAGAAATACTCATACATTACCCCACTATTGGGGTCTGGTAATGTAAACACATGCAACTCATAATTTACGAACCTATCATTAAAACCATCACAGGGGTAACCTCCAGTTCGGACAAAATTAGATGTGTAGTATTTTGCTACAAATGACCAACATGTATGAGCGTGGATCCCTAGGCGATTCGCACCCTTTGGACCAACACGTACGAGCGTCGAGCTAGTTGTACGTAGCGACATCTGAAGGTCAGCAGACCTGAGTGTCATGCAAGGCATGAGCATCATCATTATCATAGTGTACGCGTCTGCACCCATCATTATAAAAAGGAAAGTAGCTCGATGTATATGTATACACAAAATGCATGAAGTCCCTATATTTTTTCATCTTTATTACATCTATATGACACAACCCTATATTCCATTCACATATTACCGTAATGCATGTATTGGTCTTCTTATGTTCATCATCATTAACATTAACTAGGGTTATGCATTAGAAAAATAATCATCATAATGCATCATTGAATTTAAAACATGTGCCTCGTCTTAATATTTAATAATGTCATATTAAGTAATCTCATAATCTTACGTCTTACATCGTTATGTTGTCACGCATCATCATCATCATAAAACATCATGATGTAAAAACATTGTAGAGCATCATATAACATCATATAGCATCATCATATAACACAATCACGTCATCATATATCATACATCATTATCATATAATATACTCACTACATCATAAAATATAAAGCATACATGACAATTGCACAGGCCACTGTGTACATCGTCAGACGATTGCACAATTTTTTTTTTTTAAATTTATGGTCGTTACAAAGATTTTGATCTAGTTCATGTTGAGGACAAAATTCAAATATGCCATGGCTTGTGAAGTACTATGATCTAAATCACAAGATTGAAGTTTTTGTGACCTTTGAAACCTTGGAATGTATATTAGTATATAAGATTCAAATAAGATAATTATTTTAAAAAATATTATATTACAAATAAAATAAAATAAACCTATCACGGTAAGTAGGTACTTGCAACGGCACAAAAAAGAAATATAGTAGTTCGCCAAAAATTTGATTTGGGTTAGACGTTTTAAGAATGATTTCAATATTTTTGACCTTCTCGAAGTTGAATTTGATCTTATTTAAGAGAAATTAAGGTGAGTACAATGTTCAATTGCTCAGTTGAAGTTAAATTAGGTTAGGAAACAAGAATTTTCTAATGAAACAAGGTGAATGTTCTAATAGGGTGAAACATCTCTACTATACTTGAAACAAACTTTGAGGGATGAAATCAAGCGTATTCGAGTATTAGATAGCATGTCGACCAAGGTCATCCATGTAAGTGGTCTTACAATAGGCATAGTTAGAAGTTTGTGTTATGTAAGATGACACGAGCTCAGTGACTCTATAGTGTCATATGTTTGATATGTGTGAGATGTCTATGATATGACATGTCTATGATATGATATGATTGATGATATGATATATGTCTATGATATGATATGTTGAACTATATGATATGTTGAATGATATGACATATGGAACTATACAATATGTTGAAGGTTACGATGTGTTGCATGACATGATATAATACGATGTATTACATGAATGATAAGCAGTAAAAAGTTTTGGCATGATACACATCCCCATACATGTTTTAAAGACTTTGCTATAAAATTATATGATATGAAGGAAAATGGAAGGGGTTGTCTTACATGGTTTAACTAATGTGAAAAAGTTGGGATCTCATGCATAATGGTATGCCACATGCATCGAGATATTTTTTCCTTAGTATTAATATGAACGTGTAGTTTTGAAAAGGAAAATGATCGTCAGTTTAACAAGATGCTACGATGGTTGCTACTCCTTTTGGTTGTCCGATAATAGCACTAGAGACGCTAACCCAACAAATACGAGGCCCAGAAGGTGTGCAAACCCCCTCGTGGGTCCATATTTGCACGTATGGGGCATGTGTAGAGTAGTAAATACACATGTAGAGTAGACGAAACAACCAGCACCACCGTCAGCTTAAGTGAGGGCTTATGCATCTACGAGCAAGGATATTCGGAAGTCCGACACCGTGGTGACAGGTACACTATTTGTTTTAGGTCATTTCATTTTTACCTTATTTGATTCTGGTTCTAAGCATTCCTTTATTTCTATATCTTTTGTTGTACAAGTAGGATTCGAATTAGAACCCTTGCTGCATGAAATGTCTGTAAGCACCCGTGCAGGGGTAGACTTAGTAGCTAGGAATAGAGTAAAGAATAGTCAAGTAATCATAGGGAACCAAACTTTAAGCGTTGACCTGATAGTAGTAAATATGACGGACTTCAACATCATACTAGACATGGGTTGGCTAGCCGAAAATCGTGCTAGTATAGACTGTCATAAAAAGAAAGTAAATTTTTTACCACCGGCAGGGCTTACCTTCAAATTTAAAGGCACAAGTATTGGGATTACTTCCAAGGTAGTCTCGATGATGAAT